TACTCGAACTGTTTCTGAAACAGGGGTTAAAAAGAGCAAGGATGGAAAAGATGCGCTGACTGCTTCTGGTGTTTCAAATGGCACCCTGGCTTCAGAATCAAACTCTAAACTGTCATTTGCAAAATCAAAGAGTAAATCATTCAATGAGAGGCCAGCAGCATCTGCTTCAACCAATGTTAGCCAGTCCAAGGTAGATGCTGATACTGACACTATTCTATAATGTCATGTTGATTATTCATGGTGTTCCTTTTCTCTGGTAGTGAGCATTGTACTGATGTTCTTCTGTCTTTAGCAGCAAATCCAGCAGCCAGAATTGATATCATCTACATCTGCTGCACAATCTGACTGCAACAGGTATATGTTTTCTTGAATTGACCATTAATTTCACATACTCCTTCAAGCTTAATGATGTCTACGGTGCAACTCTGTCTCACATGCCAGAGTTCATAGGAAGATCATGAGAGGGCTCCTTCCTATGAATCTTCTGACTTTAATTTCTTTTCAATCTTAAAAGTAATTTTTAAAGTGTTATGTGTTGTTCACTTGTTATTTTCCAGCAATTAGCAAAATTTGTTTCTCACTGCAGGGAGAAGACTAAGCCAAGGGTACTGAAAAAGAGCCAATCAAGTAAAACTGAAGGAGTGGCAGAATCTGTGTATCCTACCCGTGTGTGTGTGTGTGTGTGTCAGATGTGTTTGTCTTTTTTTCCTCCCTACTTATTGGCCTTTTCCTTTTCATCTCTTTCCTTACAGTTAGTTGTTAAGGTTCAAACCTTTGATTTCCTGTATGTGATTGAGAAACAAGTTGCTTGCATAAGTAGTATTATGGACGTTTTGTCCTTAACCCCTATACAGAAGTCCTGCTGAAGATGCAAAGCCTCGCAAAGTGGGTACTCTTCCAAACTATGGCTTCAGTTTCAGATGTAATGAAAGGGCTGAGAAACGAAGAGAGGTTAGCTTTTCGAATAAGATGCACTGAAACTACAACTTTTACAGAATGATATTCTAGTGTTGATAGAGAAAAACCTTTTATTACAGTTTTACTCAAAACTAGAGGAAAAGATCCAGGCAAAGGAAGTGGAGAAGACTAATTTGCAAGCAAAATCAAAGGTGAAATCTTTAGGTTTGTCTTGCAATCCTTCAAATGGTAAGCAGTGTAATGACCTAATTCTTGTACGTTCTTGTTTCCATTGGGCAGGAAACGCAGGAAGCTGAGATTAAAATGTTGAGGAAGAGTTTGATGTTCAAAGCAACACCAATGCCAAGCTTCTATCAGGAGCCTCCACCTCCCAAGGCAGAACTAAAGAAGGTAATTTTGCTTTTAATATCTGTAGTGAAAACGTAAATTTAATGTTTGAGTTTTGTGTTGGACCTCATTTATGGAGGAAGATTGTACATAAATTGATGCTTCTAATCCCTGAGCTCGTAGTTCTGTTACAGAAATTGAAATATGTAAAAGTAATGTTACAGTACTGGGATGTAGAGAATTGCCGCTGGTGTAATGCCATTTGGGATAGTTACATTCATTTAGCTAAAATCAAGCAATCTTTTGTTGGTGGTTGTTGCTTCATTGAACTGTATGAACCCTTCGGACTTGGTTTTGCAACCGTAATTAGTTTGGCATTTAGAAAATAAAACACACATCTTAAGTGGGTAAGATGTTTTGTGGTTAAGGTCTCAAAGAATAGTATTAAGAGTAAATCCTTTCTCCTTCTATCAGATGATGAATTTGGAGATAGTTTTAAGTGTTCCTGACTGTATGCTTGTGGAAATCTGATTTGGTAGATTTCTTCCTCAAAGTCCACTAAGGTTCACCCAGTTGAAATTTGCAGTGGCACAGTGGTTCAGTTATGCTGATGCCTAGTATATTAGCATGTCTAGTTGATGAATAGGAAAGCAATGAATGCCTAAAGAAAGAGTCTAGTAAGTATTGCAAACCAGTGAATTTAGCCCAATTTTAGGGAAAGAGTCCAGTAAGTATTGCAAACCAGTGAATTTAGCCCAATTTTAATATAGTTATCACGTAATTAGAATTGATTGCTTGGCCTTGTGTCTTTGGCACTAAAATGGGTCCATTGCCATTTAAAAAATAATGGGCAAAATCAAATGAAATAAAAAAAAACGCAAGTCTGCAAGCAGTTTGTTTGGTTTTGGTTTTACTTTCTAGAAGCCAGCTCTTCAATAAAGTCAACCAAATGAAATACAGAGGCAAGAAATACATTTGCGAAAGCTACATATATTTTTTGCAAAGCTGGGTTCACAATCAGACTGTTTCAATCTCAGTGATTTACCTATCTTTAGCCCCTACCGAGCAAGGTTTTGCCTTCTTGTCCCTAACTGGAATTGGTCTACCTATCTGCTTTTAGTAAACTGTACCTTCAAATGTGAATTAAACGCAATTCCAGAGGAGCAGTATACGATAAAGAATAAAAACAACTTAAGAAACTGGTTTTGTGCAAAATCTAATTGAAGACATTGTATACTTGCAAGCATGGTGGGTTCTTGGAGCCCCATTTGCATGAATCTGTGTCATACTTGCCTCAAGTGTGGTGGATCATGGTGTCACAAGCATTCCTAGACACACATTAGGTGAAAGGTATGTAATAGATATATGCAAACTGTAGATAAACAGAACATGTGCTCAAGCCACGCTGAGGTTTGAGAAATGGTTCTATGTTTAACTTTTCTAGATGGAAAAGAATGAGAAAAGGTTAGGTTAAATATTTATTGTGCTATATTATATCATCTTATTCTGTACTGTACCTATATCATGTTAACATTTTTCATGCTAAAAACATAAAAAGAGTATAACAAATTTTCTACGCTGCTTTGAGTTAGTGGTATTTATTTGAATTTACATATTTTTGGTAATGTCACAACTGGTATTTGTACCAGTGGGCTAATGATTAATCAGCAGGGTAAGCCTTCTAAAATTTGAAAAGAGAACTATTGAAGATACTGCATTTATTTAATGCATTTTCTTTATTCTGGAAGTAAATCTCAATCTGCTGCTCTGTTGAATTTTTGGATAAAATCTACTCTTCGTTTTCTGAATTATGTACATATTAAGTATACCTTGTATTAACTTGCTGAAAAATGAAAAAGCAACAATTACATGGATGATAATTGGTTTTGTGCTGGTTTTTAATGGAAATGATGTTGATTTAGGAAGCTTCAATTTTGAGCTTTACTTTGGGTATAGTAAGCTTTCTACTGCCTGTCACTGGATATGTGTAAGAGTTTTTTAAATAACGTGGACCTAATGAGAAACTGCCTTAGCCCAAAGCTTCCACCCCTCTCTGGGCAACTAACTTGTATACTATCTATGGAAGTCTGTAATTTCTGGCCAAACATTGATGGGCCTTCTCAAATCTGGGAGACTTCTATAAGTGTGTTTGGTAAATGTTCCCTTCTCTAAAACCATGTTGGCCAAACCTTGATATCATGAGAGGGATATCAAATAGATGGAGGGAGAACACATTGTAATGGTTGATTCTTAATGCGTTTCAAAGGCTGTGTTAAACACTCAACAAAGGAGAGACTTGGTATGTTTTTTAATTTTGGGGTTGGTATTACATGGAGCAAGTTGTTGAGCACTAGAGGTGGGAGAGTCAATTTGTGGCTTAGGTTGTTTGGCCATTGGTGATTAAGAGTCCTTCGACACTTGTAAACTAATTTGAGGAAAAAAGCACATAAATGGAAATTTTGTTTTAAAAGAAAGAGAATACAGATTCAGTTTGCCAAAATTTGATTACATTGTTTTTTTTTATCGAATGTCCCCGAAGGGACAAAATTTGATTACATTGTTGGTTACTGTATCATTAATGCTTTGAAAAGTATGTTTATCAAGCTTTAAACTAAAATGAAATGGTCAGCCATCTATTATGCCTTTCATTGTTGTTACTCAACCGTGCAGATACCAACAACAAGAGCTAAATCTCCTAAGCTTGGTCGGAAGAAAAGCTCCCCGAGTAGAGTTTCTGAAGAAGAGAGTGATGAAGGAACACACACGAGCAGGTTAAGCTTGGATGAGAAGTTGTCGCAAAATGACTCTGTCAAGGGACCTTCAATTGTCAATCTCAAGAAACCTCTGAGGAAGTCCCTCCCTAAACTGCCTTCCCAGAAAACTAGCTTGACTGGTGAAACAAGAAAAGCGTCTTCCAGAAAAACTAGTATATCAAAGGAAATGAGTGGAAGTTCTTCTCAGGCGGACAATTCATCAAAAAGTGGAGCTGCAGGTGACGTGCAAAAGCAGGAGGAAACACCATTGGTTGAGCCAAACCAGACTCAGCCTGGTACTGATGTTGAGCATTTTGGTGAAGTTCAAGCTGAGGTAGCCTTGGTGAACTAGCCATGTCAGCAGAGCATTAAATATAGCAGCATGCAAATCCAATGTATATTTATTAGGCTACCCTTTGTCCCATCATCTGCCTGAAAATTGTGCAAGAGATGCGAGTAACACTTGATTCATTTGATGATGAAGAAACGGTTGATATTGTAGTGATGGTTGTTGCCTCAATGTTTATAATGGCCAGGTTTGATTGTGTAATATACATCTGAAGATTGCTGGAATGTGATCCTTAAGACAAGCAGATTGATTGCAGCACTTTAAGGTCACTGTTGGTCAATTTGATGCCCTTATTTATGTTTCAATGTGCCCTAGTCCTACTTACGAACTGGGAAATTTTTGGCTTTGAGGGGATTCACCTACTATTAGTTCAGGATATATGTATTGGCTACTTTGCTTTAAAGTTTGGTTAACTCTGAATGTTGTATTGGCTGCTAAGACTTTTAATTAGCAATTGAGTATTGCTTATCAATGAAGACTTTTATTTCTATTTGCATTTTAGTTTGGTCAACTCTGAAGCTTGTATTGGCTGCTGTGACTTTCTTTTTTTCTTGTTCTTTTTTTTTTTTCCGGAGACGACAGATGATTTTATTAGAGTTGTGCATGAATTATACACGCAGTGAGCAAAGGCTCCACGAGAGCTATACAAGTGCCTAAAAGCACCGAGGAAGTAACCACTCCTCATCAAAAGGCATGCTTAATGCATCATCACAAAAGTTATTAGTTGTTCTAACACTAATATCATTCCTAGCTACATCAAAAGGCATGCTTAATGCTCCCTGCATTCTCCGGGAACTAGCAAAGGGACAGGAGGGTGTAACCTTAGAGTTTCTTTAATCACTGATTTTAGGTATCTCAGGTTTTGGATATCAGTTGTGGTGAATCCCCTCAATACATATATCTCAGGTTCTTTAACCTTAGAGAGAATTTGGATAGCCTCACAAATAAGGACAGCCTTCATGGGAAAGAAAATAATTGAAGAAAAGTACTTCTTCAATTATTTTCTTTCCCATGAAGGCTGTCCTTATTTCACTCTGCGCCTTAGCCATCACATCTGGTTTTCGAATCATCTCAGCTAGTGCCCATTCCACAGTTGTGGATGAATTTTCAATCCCCCCTACGAACATATCCTGCAAGAATACATACCAAAATGCTGTCAAATACATATATCTCAGGTTCTTTAACCTTAGAGAGAATTTGGATAGCCTCACAAATAAGGACAGCCTTCATGGGAAAGAAAATAATTGAAGAAAAGTACTTCTTCAATTATTTTCTTTCCCATGAAGGCTGTCCTTATTTCACTCTGCGCCTTAGCCATCACATCTGGTTTTCGAATCATCTCAGCTAGTGCCCATTCCACAGTTGTGGATGAATTTTCAATCCCCCCTACGAACATATCCTGCAAGAATACATACCAAAATGCTGTCAAATAATTCACAAGTTGGGAGTCTAAAGAGAAGGCAAAAGCATGTACTTCCCTAGTATTTACCAATACAAGTATAAAACCACTAGCATTGGCTAAGTGGGCAAGGGAGAGAGACTTGCTACTCTCTGGGCTACTAGGCGAAAAAACCAGTTGGTTCACTTCATCAACAGGTTAAAACATTCTATGGTAGAACAGTATTTTTCGCTCCTTGTTAATTTTGAAAAAGAAGGGGGGAAAAAAAGAGTACGTGCCACTATGACAGCTTTGATGTTATCGTCTGTCATTTGACATTGAAGGCCACCACTTTCTCTTACTCGTAGCAGGGCGTCAATCAGATCTTCTTGGCCAAATTCACCACCAGTGGACGACTTTTCAGTTGCAAAGTCGCGAATATGCTGACGAAGTATGTTGCTCAAAACTTTGTCCTGCTTTTGCATCCCCTTTTCCAGATTAATCCTCCCGACACTAAAGAAATGAAGAAACTTATAGGATGGGAATAGATCAGCAATCTCCATGCCTTTTGCACCGAATCCGTCCTTGATTAGCTGCACGAAAGCATTCTGGTCATCTCTGCTTACTTTGCCAAATGCTGATCTGCGAATCATGGAACTGGAATACATGTACAGCTTTTCTGCTATATTGATTGGCTCTTTACCCCCAGCCAGAGCCTGAATAGATGAAACGAGCCGCGAAGCCTCGGCGCAAATGGGGCTGAAAGATTGGACAGTTCTTGCACTGAGGAGTTCCTGGGTGCAAATTTTGCGCATCTGTCTCCAGTAATCACCATATGGGGCAAAAGCAATGTCTGAAGCGCCATACAGTACGATCCTGATTGCTGGGGATACAGCCCTGTCTGCAAAGGCAAGGTCGTGAGTTTTCAAAACCTCTTCCGCCATACGAGGTGATGATACCACAATAGCGGACATCTCACCGAGCTGTAGGTGCATTAAAGGTCCATGTTTCTGAGCTAATTTTCTGAGGGCATGATGTGGTAGTGAACCCACCAAATGATGCAAGTTTCCAATAAAAGGAAGCTTCCATGGAGATGGTGGCAGCTTCTGCATCTGGGCTGCTGCATTGGGTCGCTTCCATTGCATCAACAAAGCTAAAACAAAGGCTAGGAAGAGAAAGAGAGGAATGGAGTTTGAAGAAAGGTCCATTGGCACCTGTTGATCTCCTATCAACAATCGTTTGCAGAATCCCGAGCGTGCATGGCTCCCTATTTTGTACTATTACTAGCATAGCATTTGGGAGGATTCTCAATAATGGAGCCGGGCCAGCTCTCGAACTCGGAACTAAATAATTAGGGACCTATCACCGGGCCTGTTTGGCAAACACACTACTGTTTACCTGCTACAACTTTAGCTACGAGTTTTTTTGGCCAATGCCAAAACACTTGCTACAACGGGCCGTTTTTAGCCAAGTTTATCTGCTACAAGTTTTTTAATAATTTTAATTATAATAACCTCAAAAAATTTCTCAAAGTTTTTTAATTATATACTTCAAAATATTCAAAAGTTTATATACTTAAAAAAAAAAAAATTTATAATTTCTACTATAAGGTACAGTAAAATTTTAGACAAATACTCAAAAAACTCAATTGTCAAATGGAGCTCTATTTAGGGTAGAACCTTGCTCTTGTACATCATTGGACTGGGCTGAGCTCCGGTGTACCGATACAATTGTAAGCCGAGTTTGGATTTAAAGAGGTTCAATTCGATCAAAGCTCAACCCGACCAAATATGTGTATAAGTATGTGTTTTTTTTAAAAAAATTTACAATAATGATGCACGTTATTTAATAATTGCATGTATAACAACTTTACATAATTTACAATATACTATATAATGATAACAATTTTATATGTGTATTATATAATATGTGGTAGTAAATGTTATTTGCACTCTCCTTTTTGTTAATCACACTTCTATTATCATGTTTATTGTATAGTTTTCATTTGTTAAATTATACGATAAAACAAGTAATGAAAGTGCAAATAACATTTTCTTATATATATAATTATGAATTAATTGTGAATTTGGGTCAAACTCTGATTAGGCCCAAAATCCTTTTATCTTTGTAAAGAGTATCGAATACGAGTCCGTCTCCGTCTTACTACGTGGTAAGGCGAAAGAAAGTCTGAACCCGAAAAATCTGAAAGCTCGGCTTTATTTTGTGAGTTAGAGCTTGAACTTCTCAATTCTCAACTCACAAGACTCGATTGACACCCAACTATTTACCTAACATTAACCATTTTCTTCTCCCTATTTCTATTAGACTGGGAAGGAGGGATCAATAGAGTTGCTAGCGGGCCATAACAAACCCAGACCTAAACACATATTTTTAATTTTTGCGGCTTGGCTTCAGTGGATTAGGTTTAATTAGTCAAATTTCGTTTCTCGAAAGAAGAAGGCTTCAGTGGAAAGTTTACCATACTAATTAATGTGGTCGTTTAAGTTAAACGCATTAATAAGTCTTAAACAGGATTACGTATTCAAATTCATCTTCAAATTTGTGCAAACAAATTGTGATCAGATTGTTTAGTTACCACTTTCAAGCGACGTAGTGGTAGGTATAATAGATATGGGAAAACCAAAAATGGGCTTTTTGAGTTTTATAATGGTAACCAACTCCCAATAGAGGAGTTGGCCATATAGTGGGATGGGAGGTCAAGGATTCAAACATTGCTTCCCATCAATGTGCCTCAATACGAGGAGTGTTCTAAATTCATGCGGGTAAGTGGTGCATCCGTCTGGTCAAATGGTGGTTAAGTCCCCGTCAGGTTCCCCCGTCTAATGAGAAAAAAAAAAAAAGTTTTATAATGGTCCCCTTTAGTTGGCATCATCATTATGATAAATCAGATCCAAATTAAATCTATTGATAGCTAGGTGTGTGAGCTACTTTCTTGAGGGTCTGCCAAATTAAGGCTTTAAATCCTTTGCTTTTAAAAAAAAAAAAAAAAAATCCCCATCAAAGATAACGATGCGACGATTCCGTATGCTGGGATAATGCTTGAAAAGTAATCAACTAACAACCCTAGTTGATAAGTCAATACTTACACTTAATGAATTCAGATATTAATATATTCAGACGAGTTTGATAACCAAATATAGAACATATGAATTAATTAAGTGGCACTGAATTTTCTAGACAAAACTTGCTCCAAAAGTTAGGTAATAAGCTATTCACTTATCGCTTAATATGACATACTCTCAAATATTTCATATTAGCATTTAACAATTTAATACCTTAACGAATTCGGATTTTGATTTTTAGTTTTTAGAATTTTGTTTTATCAAACACATCCTAAAACCATGTGATCTTTTGTTGGTGGAGACTCAATCTCTGTTAATTTGCAGGTAAAATATATACACATTAATCTCGTATGCACTACTATTATTAGGTTTGGATGCATGTCACATGTACAAAAAAATTCAATTTAAAATAAGTTCTCTTAATATATGTATACAATGTCCATATATGAAACAGTAATTCAATAAGGATTTTAGCACCCCTATTTGTTAATGGGATTTGAAGTCTTCTCATTAATAATAATTTAAAAAAAAAAAAAAAAGCTTCCAAAACAATTTTTGTTGTGTCAATCGACTGGAACAATATGCTCTGAACTGGTATTTTTAATTTATAAGGCACTTAAGTGCAATAATTGATAACTTAGTGCAGTGCGCACACCACAAATCGATGACAGCTCAGAGGCGCAAAGTATAATTAACACTTTTATATAATACTAAATCGATGGCAGGGATAAAGGGTCGCATCAAATCCAACGTGTTGGGGCATCTCAATCTCCAGGTCAAATTTCTTGAGATGAGTGGTTGAATTGAGGCTAATCCAAAGGGATTTGTTCTCACTTTTTTGGATTGTTTTAAGCTATTATATACCACTGCAACCGCTCATAAATTTTTTTTTTTTTTTTTCTATGAAGACGTCATTGAATCCTAGTTTGTATTGTGTTCTCCACGGAAAATTTTTACTTTTTCGTAAACACATTTTTCAATCACTTTTTTTTTTTTTAATTTCACTACAGTATATCTTTCTACAAAAAAACTCATAAAAATCGCAATCCAAACGGATAAATTTCCGACTTCATCTAGTGACCGTAAAAAATAATAGCAAGAAATAAAAAGAAAAAGATTTCGTCACGAAACTATTCAATTCTTTGTTTCCTTTTTTTTTTTTTTGCTGATGATAAATTGCGAAGAAAAATATTAAATTGTTTCTAATCTTTTTTGGTAGACTTCAACGCAGTCGAGTCAATTTAATCCAAAATATTGCAACTGGGATCTCAGCTCCTAATGCATTTTGCACTTTTTTAGCACTTTCTTGACATGTCAACTGCTTGCCTCATCCTACGCAGATGCATGCACTCGAAAACTTTGATTATGAACAACGAACGGTACATGCACCTAGTAAAGGTCACCTTCAGTCCAGTTCCCATCAATCAACAATGCCTTTCCTGCAGGCTGCTGGAAATTTCATGAGAAGACTCCGTTTGCTTTCCAAAAAGGGATTGAAGGAACCACACTAGCCACATGTTAGAAACAAACAACTAATTAACCACGCCAGCCTTGGAGAAAGGTATTCACTAACATAAATGAAGATTCTTATTTATTGCAACAGATCCATCACAAAAAGTGTGAATAGTGAGCTAAAAACATCTCTATTACAGGAACATGATGATGGTCGCAGGGGACAGTTTCATAAACAAGACAAGCCTGCAAAACTAGGGCTCGGTGAAAAAAACAACTCTTGGTACCAACCAAGAGTTGTCATGGCAGACTGAGAGAACATGCTGCTGCAGCTGCCACGGCCAAAGCCCGCGAAAATGCAAGGCACTGAAAACCTAAAAACTGCCAAAAGCAACCACCACCATTGCTACCAGGGATCAAGCTCACCATGAGAAAACAGAGACCCAACCAACACACGCAGAACGCAGAGGCTCAACAACGTGGAAGACTCGGAAAAACTGAAACAGACAGACCTCAACACTACTAACTATAGACATTGTACCATAACTTAGCCTGAGCATGGCATGCACAACACCGGTGCTAGGCTCGAAATTTAAAACACCGTCATAAGGTGACACCTGCCAACAGAAAACTGGTCCATCCAAAAGAACCTCTAGACCCAGAGCTCAGCATCTGTATTCTCAGTGAAGTATGATCAACAAAGTAAGACTCCCAATACGGGGCCAAAATCCTTGAAACAGTTTCCCTTGAGAGAGGAAAACTGCAAAAAAAAAAAAAAGGAGAGTAGCTGACCACGTTCACTGGAAAAAGGAGCTAAAGGACAGTGGACCACAAAAGACCTACTAATCTTGGACTCAAACTAATGCAGCTACGGACAAGAAACCCGTAAAGCGTCTACCCATACATCCACATGATCTCCTTGTTCACTTCTACCAACTTAATACTCTGACTAGGTTTTTCAGTTTTTCCCCCCTGCTTAGAAAAGGATATCACACCTCCAAAGTCGCTCAGCAAGCAAATCAAGGGCATCAGACTTGACTCCATAGCAGTGCTGGATGTTCAAACCCATCAGCGTCTGGCCCAGTTTCTCCACAGAAAGCAAGCCTCTGTTCGACACCAAATTGCAACCCGACAGGGATAGGATTCGCAAACAGAGCTGATCAGCACCAGCCAGGGCTGCTGTGCCAGCATCTGTGATTCTGCTCTTGGAAACATCAAGTTCACTTAGCAATGAGCAGTGCTCTGCAATTGCAAACAGGGTTGCATCAGTGACGCACTTGCAACCATCAAGATTCAACTCCTCAAGGGTACAGCCATGGAGCTTAGCAATGGCTGCAGTAACTTTATCTGTCAAATTAACACAGCCGCTCAGATTCACCTTCACCAAACCAGCTTCAGAGCTCTCTACAAGTGGGAGAAGCCCCTCGTCAGTAATCCCACCAAGTGTGCTTAGTTCAAGGTGCACCAGATTTGGGCAGAGTTTAGCTAGGGTGGAGAGACTACCATCACCAAATCCAGGGCAATTACGCACAGCAAGAGATCGGATAGAAAAGGGAAGAGCCCTAAAATGAGACCCAAATACTAGGTCCTTAATTCCAAAGCAGTTCGCCAGTGCAAGAGCCTTCAACTTGCCACAGGAATTAATAAGCATGCCAAAAAACCCAGATTGTGTA